ATGCTCAGAGAGGTAGGTCGGACACCCAGATATGCCTGGCAGTATGTTATAGTTTGGTATGTGGTATGATGGAGGAACTCGCTAAGGTTTGTGCTTATGGTTTACAGTTTTTGTTTCAGGTCCTTCTTCGTCGAAGGGAAAGGAGCCGGCACGGTAGCAGCGCATCACACCACTATTTTTCCGCACTTGATGTTCTTGGGATTGTACTATGACATTGTGACTATTTGATGATATGGTTTGGAGAATTATGATCTATGAATTTGATGAAATGAAATAACTTGATGATGTTTTCTCTAAAATGTTTTATGAATCGTTATATCAAAAATGAAATTTTTGGTCTTGAAATTTGGGATGTTACATTGATGTTGGACATTTCCAATAATAGTGTCGTTTGGTGAGCTGCTGATACCGATCGATCGGCATCCGAGAGTAAACGTGCAACGATGTGGTGGTGTGTGGATGATTGTGGACTTTAAAGAGAAAGTAATGGGTTTATTGATGCAGATGTTGATCCATGTTATACAAAACCCCCATCCGAGCTTCAACTCCGACGATCGTCCTCAGTTAACCTTGAACCTTCTAGAAATCGATTCATAAATTGCATAAACTTGGATAAATCCATTAGCGATTTCCTCATTAAGGCTCCCTGACCGCTCATTTTGTTGGTGGTTCCCTTCTACTTTCCACCTCATAAGAAAAAGAGGCATCACCAAATATTACCTAGTGTCACACCCTCGACCGTCGCCGAAGTGCGCGACGTAAATCGGTAATCCCAGTTATTGAACATACATTAACCAGTACAAATATAATATTCTATTATTACTGAAATAGAAATTACATTGACAATGACTATTGCTAAATCGTGACACACGCCTAACAATCTGGCGTTTACAAAGGTATAATATAATTAACAAAGAGTATTCTAAGCGAACACTTCTGACATGCTAAATGACCTGACAATACATGCATTAAAATACATCAATCAAATTGTTGGTGAGTTCTACGGGTTTTAACACAAAGTATGTTTATAACCAAAAGTGTTTTATAAAATTTAGCTGGTTGACCATCTTTTATAAATATTTACTTTTCTATCAAAAGTATAAAATAATTGAGTTATAAAAATGTGTTTGGACTCATTCATAAATATCATTTGTTCAAATCCAAATGTACAAAATTTGAAGAAATACACATAAGTATAATTTATATGAAAAACCTCATAACTCTCGAATTTATAAGCTCTGTGAAATTGTGTTGTGGCAATAATTAAGTGTTATCTGATTTAATTTGGGAACCGACACATAACCGATGTGGCAAACTCTTCCCACGTAAATATTGTGTTTTCTTATAAAAACAAATGGTTTATATAAATAACTTGTTTTATGTAAGTTAATAAACCTCGTTGAGTCGTGACGTGATATTAATTAAGTGTTGTATGACTTAATTTCTGGTATTGAGACTTATCGTTTGAGTCACAAACTATCCCCCTGAATACAATCTCTTTCAACTAGTATAAGTGAACAAAAACCCCGTATAAACCCAATATCGATTCTATACAGTAATAAAACAAAATTGGGATTTTATAATGAACTCATGGCCGAATTCATGACACTACACTTTTTGCACCGGCTCCATAATAAGGCATGCTTAAGTCATTCACCCAGTTATAACACGTGGTAATGTTCAATTGTACTAACGGCAACACAAAATTCGTCTCGTCAAATGTAGTTGTAACTAGCAACTCCAGGCGGGCGGTCTAACCGTATAAGATCAATAGTATGACACTTATACTTGTCGTAGTCGTTCTTTGCGGATTAATGGTTATGAAAAATAAAAGGTTTTTCAACCAAGACACACAGTCTTAGTATACCAAACAACATAGCCCAAATGGCTTAGGAACGAGCCTAACTCATATGGCTTTAGAAACAATGTGGCACCTACCAGGGGATCCTGGATTGTTGGATCCTAACAATGTGTTTATGCATCCGAGTCTTAACCTTCACGTTATAAGATTGTTGAATATTTATAATTTTATTGTTTAGGAATAATATTTGATTATATTTTAGATACGTAAGACTTAATGGATTTCTAAATTTCTATTGTTTGTTCTGACGAAATTTGAGCAGCATAACGGCTGATTTTATAATATTTTTCAGGTTTCAACCATCGTGAAACCAACGATTTCCATCACATTAATAATTCACATTATTGATACGATATGATATTTCATAATTTACGATTCTTAAATCTTGAAGTTGATCACGTTATTTTATACGACGATCATTCGTAATTTAGTAAAAATTAGATATATTTTTATAATTAATATAAAAATATATTAATATATTTTACATTCATTTTTACACAATCTCATATATTAAAAGTTAAATTTGATAATTTTAACTAATAACTATATATTTTCATAAACTTGGTTCTTCCACCACTTATGTCAATGTATTTTCCTTTTACGCAATAAATATGTGGAATAATATTTTTGATTACATAATACATTTTTGCATATTTTTAACCTGCTCAAACTTACACATGACAAGTATCATAGTCCTTATAAATCATTAAATAGATTTGCACCATTATAGCATCCTACTTGTAATCTTGTAATTTTTCTAAATATTCACATTAATAATCATGAAAAACTATAAACATATTATCTTTTAGCAATCTACTTTAACTTGTATAATCTATTAATGATTTATCACATTTTAGATTACTATTTAATGAGCTTTTGACAAATAATAAAGTATGATGCTATTATGTGTATAAAACTTGAAAATCATTAAACTTTAATAGACACGCATATATTCTCCCCCAAATATTAAAACCGTAAAATAGGGGATGTAGAAACTCACATTCGATGCGTGATCTCGATCTAGGTTCGTTTTGATGAAGCTTGACATGAGAAACCGCATCTTGACGTCTTCTTGAGTTAAAACAAAGTTCGGGACTATTTTTAGTAATATTTTAACCAAAGGGACTTGTTTTGAAATAAATTACATTTAAAAAGTGTTGTTTTGTGATTTATCTAACACAAGGATTGTTTTGGTAATAATTTATATAAAAAGGAACGATTTTGATATTTTAAAACAAGGTAGGGACCATTTTTTAAATGATTTAAATCAAATGGGCTTGCTTGTAACAATCTAGGTCAAAGGCTGATTTTTGATTTATAATCACAACTGAAGGGACTGTTTCTGCCAACATTCTCAAATGTATTGAAGAGGGATTGCGTCTTTTTCACGAGTCGGGAAAGGAACCGCCGCATCAAATGGAAGACGCGAAAGGGAAAGCAATAACCAACTCCGGCGACTGCGGTGGTTCTACCCTCGTTGTTAATAGCCTCAAACCGAGGGAACAAGGTAGCAGCATCATCAATCGATGTTCAAGGAGGGCATAACTGGTGCCTGTTTCGGTTTCAGATAGATGGAGGACGGAAGAGACAGCAGTGATGTCGTTGATTGCTTTCGCCAACAAGGGTTGCTCTGGCAGTGGATCGCGAAGGGGATAGGGGAAGGACGAACAAATCGTCGGTGCTGATGGGGAGGTTTGTGGGTTGTTCCGCGACTGGAGAAGAGTTTAGGAGTGGCGGTGGCAGCTTCTTGATTCCCAGACAGCTTCTTCATCAGAAGGAGCCCTCGACGAGACAGTTAGGGCGACGGGAAGAGCAGTAACGATTAGCTCCGATCAGAAGAACACCTCCGGTGCTTTGGTTTGGCTCGGATGTAGAAGGAAGAAGAAAAGGGGTTGATTGGCTACTGTTGCTAAGGAATCATCTCATGGGTGCTTGGAAGCTGCGATGTCTGAAGCATAAGGGTGTTTGGGTGGTGCTATATGACAGGAAAAGGAAAGGAAACACAAACGTGTTATTGTTCTTCTTGTTTGCAGGTGTACTCGAGAATCAAGAACAGGAGTGTTCTTGCTTTGATACAGGTTTTCCTTTTTCTTTTGGTTGTTCTTGATAGAAACCGATGGGGGCACAAAAATGGATGTTTTGGTTTGTTTTTGACAGGAGAATGAATGAGGAAGAACTATGGAGGTTTGATGCTCTGAGGAGGGGGTGTTTGAGAGGGTGTTTGGCTTAGCTTTTGTGTGGGAAAAGTCCTTTTTTGTAAAAGGACTTTTTACAAGAGTTGTTTTTTAAAATGTGTTTGGATTAGCTTTTGAAGGGAAAAAATCAAAAATTAAAGTGTTTGGTTTAATTTTTACATGCAAAATGACTAAAAATGACATATTTACATATTTATTGGGAGTGAATGGAGATATAAAAGTAATTTTAATGTTTAAAACTGTTGAAAAGTTGGAAAAGTAATGATTTCGTGACTTTTCAAAAAGACCAAATTTACTCTATTGGAAAAGTTATTTTCAAAAGTCATTTTCATCTTTCCAAACATCTTTTTGACTTTTTCTAAAAGAAAAAGTCAAAATTCATTTTAGAAGCTAAAACAAACACCCTCTGAATGGTACGATCAATCGGAACAAGTGGAGAGGAGGAGGAAGGCTGCCATGGCCGGTGGGAAGGTCGTTGGCCATTTTCGTCTTCTTCACTGAAGTACCAAACGAGAGGGAGAGATGAGGGGTTTTTAGGAGTCTTTATCCATTATTGGAAGCAATGTAAAAAAAATCTGATTTTAGGATTTTAGTTGATTCAAAAATGATTTTGTTGTACAAATCATATTTCCTTTTAAAATATAGTTGGTGTAAAATCAAGTGATATGTATTTTATGGGCTAACTACTGTAAAGTCCTTATATTTTGGTAAAAGTTTCAAAAAAGTCTTAAAAAAATTTTTGAATGAAAAAGCCCAATAAACCGGACAATTTAGCCCTTATCATCCGGTGACCCTCATTTAGCCGGTTACAAAAGTCTACATAACATCTTAATGGTGACTGTATCGTTGACCTCATTAATTTAGGGTTTTTTAAGAAAACCCTTTTTCTTGTCTCCTTTATTCCTGACAAATCGATCGATCGATTCTGCCCATGTCCTTTGGCGATGGATGAAGTATTTGAGCCTGACACAATCGACTTTGTAAAAACCATATCAGTTTCAAGATGCAAAGATGAATTCCTTAATGTTCTTTGTGAAGACAGTGATGACGAACCAGTGGAAGGTGAAGGAGAGAATGCTCGAGTGGAAGTAGATGATGAGAAAAACACTGAAGAATCTAGTGATGAAGATGAAATCGTATACTCCATCCATAATCTGAAGGTCAAATGGAATGTGATGAAACCGATTATTGGAGAAAGGTATGAATCTAGACATGAACTGGAATTATGCTTAACAAATTATTCCATCTATAAGGGTTATAAAATTCGTTTCAAGAAGTGTGATAGTGTTAGACTAGTGGCTGTGTGTGTGTGACAACCCGTAATTTCAAATCTTGTAGAAGTCAAACTTGGTCAACTAAAGTCAAACTTATCCAATAAAAGTCAAACTTTTTTCTTTAATTATCTTAATATGGTTAGATTAATGAGTTATAGGTGTATAAACCTTGTATTCAAAGGTGTTGTGTGTTTAAGGGGGAAAACAATAGGAACCGAGAACCCTTCATCCGAGCCGCAAACCCTCACATAACTTGAGACTTCGGACCGCAAACGGTTCGCAGCCGCAAAACTCGGTCTTATCCCTTCGGTGTGTATCCAACGAAGGTGTCCCATCAGCTTTTGACCCTATATGAGGGCTGAGCTGTGAACTCTTCCTCATTTCTTCTCTTCCAGCCAAAAACACACCCTTTCTCTCTCAAGAACACCCAACCGTAAACACCTTTTCTCTCTCAACTAGCATCCTTCAATCCTTTGAATCTTCTTAGGATCTTGCTTGGATCTTCAAGTGTTCTTCATTTCACCAAGATCCTTGAGCAGTAAACCCTTGAATCTCCTTGGTTTCACCAAGAACACCAAGAACACACTTGAGTTTACAGCCAAAAACACTTGAATCTTCAAGTGGCCGTGAACCGTTTACGGCCGTAAACACCGAAGCCCATCCGTGAACTCCACGCAGTCACTCGATTTCGCTTCTAACACTTCTTTTGTAAGTAATTCTTACATCCTAGGTTGTTTCCTTAACACCTTTGAGGTTATATTCACTTATTTCATGCCAATATATCACGTGAATTGCTATTTAGGACTTGGTTTTGTCCCAGGAGCTAACTTGTGGAAAAACATCCTATATCGAATATACAAAAGAATCACTCACATAAGGTGAGTTCATACCCCTACAATTTACCTTTTTTAAATGCTTTTAGGGGGGGGGGGATACAAGTATAACACAATTTAATCGTGTTAACATTTACATGTGAAAACAAACAAACAAAGAATTTCTTATACTTTTAAATGTTATTAAAATCATTTCAAAAACTCTTTTAAATTATTTTAGATTGCTGTTTATCATCAAAATCGTATTCATTTATATATTTATGTATAAGTATGCTTTAACGGACTTAGGACTATTGCTAAATACCTTGACTCCAGTTCCTTATTTGGTTGTGGGCTTAGGGTAGGATCACTAGTCCGACTGTTGGCTAAATCATAGTTATACATGCTAAATATATACATGAATATTAAACCCCATTTTCAAAGTACATACTTAACTCAGTTGCATACATTGGGAAACTGAGTCTTTTCTCCAATTCAGTTACAGTTCAAACAAACATACTAGTAAGCTATAATAGGTATAGTTTAGAGGATCAATACATACTATTTGCTAGAACATAAGAACAATACATGAATCAATACATACTAATTTCTAGAACAGAGGAACAATACATGAATCAATACATACATACTATTACTATTCATTACAAAGTATACTATTCATTTACAAGAACAAAAAGGAACTTACATGCTGTACGTGAACAAGAAAACTAAAATGTGAGATACTACTTCATGGCATATCAATATTCTTGCTATGTCACGTTTTGTAACCAGAGTCTCCTGGAGGGAGAGCGTGAGTTTGTGTATAGATCTATACGGGATTGACCATCCCACACCTTGCTGCTAGCTACAGTGGGACCTGCAGGTCCACGGGTGACAAATGTCATACCATTTTCGACGCTTGAAGAACGTCGTGTTTTATACTAGTCAATCGAGCATGGTTATAACCTAATCACATTTTAACCTTAATTAACCAGTTTGGTTACAAGGCAGTTAATGCATAAATAGTTTATTTTACACAGTTCTACTGTAAACCTTCATTTTTCATTACATTCATACAATGATATTCTCACATGAGAAATGCATACTATTTTTCTAGTAAATATGGTTTACAAATATGGAAAACTTACATTTTATACTATTTCAAGAACAAACATACAAAACAGTCGGGTCTTGGGTATAAGACTACTTTTCATTTTAGAAGAAAATATAGGATTTTCTGGGAAGTATACAAACATTTTACTAAACAAACACAAAAATTTTCATGAAACAAATACAAACACTTGACATTAAATACTTATGAACTCAACAACTTAAATGTTGATACTCTCTATCAAAATAACTTGTATTCTCAGGAAACCAGTAGACAGGTACACTGGATCAGGTTTTGAAGAGACGGAGCATGTTCAATACTCGTCCTTTATATTTTGATGTTACATTTTTGGTGTCTTTCAACTATACAAAGAACACACATGTATTAACTATTCTATTAATGCAATGGATGTTGTTGCTTGTTTTACTATTGTGCATTGTTATGATACTGTACATGACGTCATCCGCCCCTGAATGTTTCCGCCAAGTAGGTTTGGGGGTGTGACAGATTGGTATCAGAGCATTGTTTATAGTGAACTAAGTATATCAACCCATAAAAGATATACAACTATAAATACAACGGGATTAAAACACTCTGACCAAGAGATTATACTTTTTAAATAATAAAATATTTTACTAAAAGTATACATACATGCATTCATACTAAGAACAGTGTCATACTAGAACAGAACAAAAGCATTGCGATTGTTGAACAACACAAGTAGGCTTGGGGATATATAATCAAGTCTGGGATTGATAGAGCTTGATCAACTATATCTATCCGAGAAGTGATTAGCATGTGCCCAGGAATGGTTGTGGTGTTGCAACAAGTCTAAAACTTACCAACTCTACTACAATGAAACACTAGAACATAACATAAACTTAAAATACTATAGGAGTATTTTGTTGTACTATAATTTCTTATGTGAAAACTAAAAAGACCCTTACTAGTAGGTCAATAGTTGCTGAGTGGATGCGCTAAGGTCATATGTGACTAAGATGTTATAGACTTAGAATCTGTAATCTTCGCTTCCTGTTCCTTGTTTGGTTGTGGTCTTAGAGTTGGATCACTTATTCGAAGGTCTATTCTATCTTGGTTATATATAGCTGGTATGCACTACGCAAGTATTGGAGTAACTGGTAAGGATCATCCTATAAATATCTTTAGGAATACGTCTATTATATGTCTCTTACAACCCTTTTCTCGCTTAGATAACATGGCTGGATTCCATCTACCTGGTGACCTGTACTTTCCCGATCAAGGGAACGGCGGATGGCTTGAAGCTGAACAAGAAGAAGAGAACCCTGTGGTCCCAGTAGAAGAAGACCCCGAGGAGAGTTCTGAGGAAGAGAACGAAGAGGAAGTTCAACAAGACTCTGACTCAGAACCCGAGGTCTATAATCCACCTCCAGTTGCCCAAAATGCTAACCCTCGACAAGATTTTCAAGGCTCGACGCCTCTATGGGCAGTGAACTTGGGAAGGTGGAGCCACGAACAGGGACAACCACCTCCTTATAATGGGGACAGAAGCTTCTACAACTTGAGTGAGGGAGGCTTAGCAGACAGAGTCCTTCCTATCTTGGTTTGTCGTGTTGCTCGCAATGTGGAACAAGGAAGGGCAACCATCGACCAAGTCATGGAAATTAGGGCTAACTCAGGAGTCAACACAGTTCGTCTCCGCCATTTGACCGATGACCAGGTGTTAACTAGGACTCACACTAACGCACTACAGATGGAACTGAATGCCAGTCGATCCGAAGTTAGAGAACTTCGACAGGGTCAAGTTGCATTGGAAAGTCGTGTGTGGGAAACAGAACATCAGTTGGCTGAATCTAGGGCATAATCTAGTACTAATCAAAACGACACTCCTCGCGAGTAGAGCATACTCTACTCTCTCTTTTGGATATAGATTAGGTCTACTTTTAGACTCTAGTATTATTTTTCTTGTTTATATCTAGGCCTTGAACTAGGATAAAGAGGGCATGAATTAGGAGGGAATCAATGAGAATGTCATGAATCAGGATGGAATGGGTGTATAAGGGATGGATCAGGAGGGAATCAATGAGAATGGCATGGGTGTACAGGAGATAGAGCAGGAGGGCCTGGTTGTGGACGACATGGGCAGGAGGCCAAAACTGAGAAAGAGGAAGACTTCAGAGAAGATAACAAAAATACAATTGAAGAAAGTGGTGGTTGTCAAAAATAGGAAGGGGATGAGTTCATCCAACCCACTTAGTCTAGATTAGGGTGTTTCTAACCCATGCTTTTGTGAAGAACATGTACAAACTTTTGGCTTTGGGGAACTGTTGATAGCCCCTTTTGTTGATAGCCCCTTTTGTTAATAGCCCCTTTTGTTGATAGCCATATAAAGTATAGGCTTTGTTCCCCTTGATTATGTTTTGGGCATTAACACAACTAGCCATTCAAACATTTGGCTTTGGTTAATATTACATGTTCTATGATAAACATGGTTAATGTATCTTTAAGTTGACTAACTTGTGTATGTTTATGTTGTGTTTGATTTGATTCTATTGTGTATGTTAATGTTGTGATTGATTACATTGTTAAGTTAACTGGAACTCCAACCATGTTTGATTCCGGTCATACTTGATTCTGGTCATGCATGATTCCAACCATACTTGATTCCGGTGATGCATGATTCCAGTCATAAATGATTCCAATCATTATTGATTCCATTATTTATTAAACATGTTTGAATATATTCTATATTCATTCCATTGTTTATTGATTCAATTCATTAATGATTCCATTCATGTTTCATTCCATTGATTGTTTATCCATTCTATTCACTCATGATTACATTGGAAGCACTTATGAATCATACATAAACATTAAACTTGTTAATTCATTTCACTTGACAAAAGGAGAGAACATAATACATACTACACACACGAATTAAGACATTGATAGTACGCTAACATACACAATCAAAACACATCAAACACACCAAAACACTACTTTCCATACATCTTCTGTCTATCCTACAAATCCTTCAACATCACCAACACAAAAACAAAAGAAACCATGAACACATAAAAAAAAGATTTCCATTTTCCACCTTCTTGTCCATTCTGGACTTGAATGGCCACTCCTTCCATGGGTTGATTTGGAACTGGTGGTTGTGCCACTGGTTGTTCCACAATGTCCTCAAAAAAGTTCCCTTAAACTTGTTGTTGTCCATAGTCCCCGAAAATTCCATTGTTCTCCAAATTAACATTGTTGTGAAATTCTAGTAAGAGATTTGCATACCACTGATTTGGTAGAGGAGGATCCACCCAATGGGAGAATTTGCAGTCTTTGAGTACATCCTGGTAATTTGGGCAACCTATAAACCTTCTTCCTGGGTTAAACGAAGTCCACGAAGTCCATTTGCTAACAGGATCACCGCAATAGCACCTGCTTCTCAGTCGATTCATCACTCTTCTATTTGAACTTCTGCTTCCTACAGAAGATGAAGACAACATGTGTGGCTCCTCCTCCTGCTTTAATTTTTTCCTCGTCTGATTTTAGGGCACGAACGAATGAATGGTGTACATATTTAAGTTTTGTTAAGTGACTCACCATCCACCTAAGCATGTCCAGTCCACGTAGACTTTTGTAACCGGCTAAATGAGGGTCACCGGATGATAATGGCTAAATTGTCCGGTTTATTTGTCTTTTGCATTCAAAATTTTTTTTAGGACTTTATTGAAACTTTTGCCAAAATATAGGGACTTTACTGTAGTTATCCCTGTATTTTATGTATTTACTTATTTTTTTTTTGTGACGAGATCTCCGATTCCCGATTCTGTATTTTATGTATTTACTTATTTTTTTTCTGAAAATGACTGCTTATTGTTTTGGTCGTGGTGATTCCAAAAATGTAGACGAAATTCAATTCCGATATACCAAACTCCGGGAAAAGGCTTTTAAAGTTTCACAATTAATAGAATCGGATTCGACAAATTTTTACGAATCTGATTGTGGTCGAGGTTAAAAATATTATAAAAATATAATTAAATAATAAGCCGTAGTCTAATTTCAAAAACATTCTCGGAAGTGATTTTTTTAGGTTCGTAGTTATTCCAAATGAAGCAGTGCACAGTTTGCTTTAGGAAAATCAGATAAATACTGATTTTTGTAATTTTAAAGAGGCGTAACTTTCTCATACGACCTCCGTTTTGGACGGTCTTTATATGCACAAAGTCAGGAGAACATAATCTATTCAAATATCTTATCCATAACTCTCAGATATATCTGATGCAAAAATTTTATTTTTAACATCACAAATAGAATTTAATTTTTAGTGATTTTCGATTCGATCTTCCATGATAGATGGTTTGAGCAGTTTGAGATGTTTTAAAAGAAAATTATAAATATAATATATTTATTATACATTATAAACATAAAATTACACACAGTTGGTCTTTAATACCTAATGGTTCGCGGTAAATTGACTGCCAAACTCTTACCAATTTTTACCAATTGTTAGATTATCCGCCCGTTGAAAGGTATTTCGTCCCGAAATTCAACGCATAGATAAAATATTATAAAACAATTGATGGTGTTTTCCTTTCGCTTGATCCATACCTGATCTTTCTAAATTCGATTTAAGTCGCGTGGTTGTAGATTAGATAACTGATCCAATAGACGACTTTACCACAAGTCACAACTAAATAGGGAATATGGAATAAGATCGAATCAAATATTTTTAAAGGTTGTTGAGTTTTATATACAATTCAATCGCATGTACTTTCCCAATTATGAAAATTAGCACGGTTTCCTACCTTACTTTATTGAAAGATGGATAACAAGTGTGTCATCGGACCTATGCTCTTAAAGATTTGGCGCACGAAAAGCATCGTGCATGATGTTAGTTCTCAAGACGACTTGATAAAAATATTAGGACCAAATTCTATCTAAAAACATTAAAGGTCCTTTGAGCTGCAGATTTAACCTACCTTGTTCTCTAAGCCGAATCAGTTCTCTAAAAGAGTAGGCGTTAAAATCTACACAGTCTCCGACTAGGAAGTCGAGGCATACGCCTTTTGTCTACATAATTCTCTTGTTATTCGTGTAAAATCTGAAACCTTTCTCCAGTTCACACAATCTTTTATGTGATCTCATGAGTGATTCTTGGATCAAAATTAAACATATCACGTGCATGCTCGTTGTTGAGTTTCGTAACTCCAATTATTGCTCAACATATCGAGAATTGACGCTTTCATTGATATAAAAACTCAATGGTATAGCCTTTATGTTGTCATGACAACTATCTCTGTAGGAAGACTCAATCAATGACAACAAGTATTCCATGTATTATCCAAAATCTATCACTTAGGATCGGAGCATTTCCCTTAAGGTTTGGACCGTCTTGACCATTGCGAATGGTAAATTGTGCTTATTCTAAGGCACATATCCAAGAGTTATGATGACTGTCAAGATTACAAGGTGAATCCACCATCTTAACGAGAGATCATAGAAACTGGCACCTTGTAGTCTGACTATATACTCGGCATAAGTCCTAGTAAGCTTCTCCTATTAGCATGGTTCTTAGATTAGCAGGAAGTTGGCAGACTTAGTCAACATGTGGATTACTGCTCTGAATAGAATCAAAACCATTAGGTTTCTTGGCCAGCTTCGGTGTAAAGCCCATTGACGTTGGTTATCTGCCCACTCAAATGGTAATCTCTACTTTCATGTATATTCACCATTTCCGTTTCTTTAGATATAAGCACATTAGGTCGGAGTTTAGACGGACGGGACACTTTAGTCTATGAGCTTCATTCAAAACTATGCCCACATGTTCACCGTACTTAGGTGTATAGATTTGGTTTATAAAGTATCACGTACCATCATCCCTGAGATTGACTCATTTATCTGGTCTTCACAGAGCTTCACTCACAAAGCCTTTCTCTCTCTCATGGTCTCGAGTAAAACTTATCGAGTTTGAGCTATAGGTTATGAATGGATATTCATAGTTAACACTCGTACTCAGCGGGGTTTGGTACATTCTTTTCGGCTCGAGACATTTGTTACTATGTTAATCTCATTACATTGCTAACGAATCTCATGCGCCATGATGACAATAAATTCCTCATTTATGTCATTCAACCAAAAGCATAGGCAAAAACCTTGCCTCAAATCATCTATGTGCACCTCAATATTTTATGTACGTGTCTTCGTGTATGAACAAGTTTTCTATTCTTTTAGAAAGGTAGGATTGGTGCATTACACCACAACTGTTCCAACTTCTTAAATACAATCTCTTGCTTATCTTTCCAGTTAGACTTTGTTTTTGTTTTGTGTTAACATAGTTGATAGTTAGGCTACCATAGAGAAGTTCATGATGGATCACTGGTAGTAGCCAACATAAACTCTTTTGTTGTTAAAATTCCAGCATTTATTTCTTAGGAAGAAGTCTTCACTTAAACTTCCACCTTAGATCAAATCCTTCACATTTGATTAAGTCCTTCACATTTTATCAATTCCTTCACATTTGATTAAATCCTTCGCATTCTATCAAATCCTTCACATTTGATTTTTAGGGTACGAAAGAAAATTTAGGTTCTTCTCCGACTTTTCGTCATAAATGAGCATGGTTTTCTCGTGGGAAGATTTGTCGTACAACTTTCTTGTACTACAGATCTAGACATAATTAGGAGGTAGCTGATTCATACCTATGATAATGTCGAAGCTTCCGCACGGAATTGGCATAAATTTTATAAGTAAAGATCGATCGTTCATGGTTATTTTATCAGTTAAAGGGGGTCGTATAACGACTCGACGTGACACAAACAAAATCGTGTCATATATACAATGATATCAGACTCTCGGTGACATACACACGAGATTGACGTGACAAACTTGATTTGGTACGTGTTGTGATGAAATTTATTAAAATTTCGCATGTGGGTTTTCGACAGTTCACTAGTTTTCTAAACTCTACATATTTTCTCCAAACAGTTGGCTTCATGACTCACAGTAAGTTTAAGTTTAGGGTTCACAAGGATCTATTTACATAACTAAATTAGAAGTTCCTCAGTATATAATTAGCTAACGAGAAATGCACCAGTTATTACTGATGGTTCTTGGTTTTCATTCCTTATTCTGATCACGATTCTTCTGACTCGAGCTGTATAACACTTGTGCCATGGTATGTGCCTTATGACCCCTTGAGTATTCAATAATTTCATTTTGGTCCTTGAAGTAGTACGCAGGGCATACCACTTGGTACACTTAGCATATTGGTTGAGAAGCCAGTACGCGGGGAGTACCACTTGGTATGCTTAGCGTACTGGGTTGGTGGCGAGACGGGACTTAGGTCGCATACGCTGGGCGTACATACACTTTAATAAAACCCTAATTGGGGGTGTTGCACCCTATTAATCATCCTTATCTTCTGGGGCTGGCCTCTTTACCATCACCCAAAGCCTCCAAAACCCTAAAGCAAGTTGTAGACTCCATTGTCAAGCATTTGAGCCTTTGAAGAGAGCTTAGTGTTCATCTTGTTCATTGTGAAGGAGTTAGAAGATCTTGAAGTTGCTAAGCTTGGACAAGGAAGTCTTGGATCCAGAACCTCTACCCATTTTGCAAGAAGTTTGAGGTATCAAGTACTTATTGATGGGTTTGAGCCATAAGAACTTTCCTATGTGCACATGCAAACCCTAATGCTTGGATCTAGGTTTCTCTAATTGAACATTGTCACACCCCAAAACCGGAACGGCGGAAACATTCTGGGGTGGAGGATGTGATGTACAGTATCATAACAATGCATAATAGTAAAGACAAGCAGCAACATCCATTGCATTAATATAATAATTGTAATACAAGCGTGTTCTGTATAGTTTGTAAGACACCAAAATGTATAATCAAAATAAAGATGAGTCTTGTATGTGCTCCATCTTCTCAAAAGCTTCATCTGTACCTGTCTACTGATGACCTGAGAATACAAGTTATTTTGAAAGAGTTTATCACATAAAAGCTGGTGAGTTCATAAGTATTTAGTGTCATTGCTTGTATAAAAATGTTTGTAACAACTTAAGGTAGTAACTGATTTCAAATGTTTGTAAATAGTATACTCCCTAGAAAATCCTATATTTTCCAGTAAAAATGTAGTCTTCTACCAAGACCCGATTGTTTGTATATTTGTTCCTTATGTAGAGTAAGAGTTTTTCCTCAGTGAAACTATCATTATAAAAATATAGTTTATTTAAACGTGTATGTGACAAAATCACAGTGTAATGAAATACAGACCCCAGGTAGTACTAAATGTACAGTACACCTCGAGGAGTCTAAAGTAGTAACATGTAGACTCCAGGTGGTATTAAATGAACAATACGCCTCGAAAAGTCTATTTTTTCCTTTAATTATTAATTGGTTAATTAAAGGTTTGAATGTGAACTCGTATGTAACCATGCTGATCGACGACTGAATAACTGATGACCCTCCAGGTCATATGTAGTGAGGTAACATTTTGTCACCC